AAACACGAAGTGAAAGTCGTAAGTTTGGATCAAAGAACCCTGCTCCGCGCGAGCTGTTAAATCCATCCAGAATGGTATTATACATTTTAAAAAGGAACTGCCGTAAGATCTTAAACGGCCAGTTTTGTTTAGGTAAGTGCATACTATGTTCTAATGCTTCGACAAATCTCCCATATTTCAGTTCACGGTGGGTACAGTGACTACACTGACTACGGAGATTGTTCGAAAGTATGCGGAGGAGGAACTAAAACCAGAACTAGGACCTGTACTAACCCTATACCTCAACATGGGGGAGATGCGTGTGCCGGGGTGGCCAGTGAAGATACAGACTGTAACGAACAACCTTGTCCAAGTAATACATTAGAAGATTATAAAACATTAATCAAGTGATCAACGTGATTTTCCATATTGAGACTCAGACTGCCGACCGTGCCCAGTAAACCTTACTGGCTGGAGCCTTTCTCCGAAAGTAAAATAGATAGACACTTCCGGTTTTTTGCAAAATGTTCGCCTTGTAAAAAAAAGCGGGAAAATTTGAGACAACTTAGATTTTGAGTTATCTCAAAATCTCCAGAAAAGTCTAATTTTGGGCCGAACAAAAGTTTGCAACTTTATCTTTTGAAGAAAATCGAGCAGTATCATGAAGCTTAAGTATGTCACGTGTTTCAGACTCGTATTACATTAGTTGGTAATTAATAGAAATATAATTTATAATCGGAATTCCAAATTGTTTGGTGTACAACATGAATGACATTACAAAACATTCATCCTATTGCATGGGGAATAGGTAGTGTGTTCTTGGTTACTACCGTGATAATGACAATAGTTGCTGCACGGAAATTCCTCCTTAGGAAATGCCCCTGTGGGGATGTGGAAGAGGCTGAGTATATCCACGCTGAAACTTTTGAACTACAGTCTAGTTTACCTCCTTTGCCACCCCATGCCCCTCCCTTACCACCCACAGCAGCAACGACAAATGAGGAACAAAACGAATCCATCTACAATGACACGGAACTAAATTGAGCTCAGTTTATTTGCTCTAAAGTTTTATTAAATATCTTTTTCAATTAGTGCAATGATATTTTGCAGACATTTGTGATGTCATAATTTTTACTTTACTTTATTTTACTCCATAATGAACATTTAGTGAGGGCGGCACATTGTAAAGACGTATTTTTTTGACCACCAAATATATAAAGAAGGAAGAATGATAGAAAGCCTGGCTGATATTTGGGGGGGGGGGGGGGGCACAATTTTTCACACTATACTTTTGCCTTTTTTTTGTGTATGGTGTAGTAAAAGTGTAGTAAAAAAGGTACACTTTTTTTACACTTAGCCAAATCATCTTCTCGAAATCATCTTTTTTCCTATTATTTTCCAATCAGTCTTCGCATAGTACATTTCCAAAGGTAAAACATACCTTTGGTGGGGAAAAACTTTCACTTTTTTAAAGCTATTTTACATTCTCTCATGATCAGTGTGTAACTGTCCATAATGTAAAAGTTGTTATCTCACTCTTGTTTACGCTAATATAATGCATTAAATAGGGGTGCAATAACTGGGAGGGAGATAACTATTGTTACAGTGGCGTAACGAAAGGCCCTGCTGACCCCGCTGTGCAGGGGGGCGCCGTCTTAGGGGGGCGCCAAATCGTCGTTTGAATGTGGGACAATTTCGAAAACTTAACTAAAGTACTAGCAAAACTGCGCGTTTTGCTCTAGATACACACTTTTTTAGAGATTTTACCGGCGTATTCTTTAAAATCACCTAATTTGTTCAATTTTAGGGAGGGGCACCAAAAGGGGAGAGGGCGCCAACAGGGGGCGCTTTTTTCGGCAGGGGGCGCCAACAGGCAACGTTACGCCACTGTATTGTTATCTCCCTGGTACTACATTTAGGCTGTGATTAACAGGTAAATAGGAGGGATGTAACTATTGTTATCTCCCTGGTCCATCCTTAGTCGCTGAGATGTTGCTAATTATTTTAAATACAGAAAGTGGTATAACTTATGTTCTGATAAATATTTTTGCTTCAAAATTTTACAGAATGTCAATAACAAGTAGTCAACCATTTGTGGCAAGTTTTGTGTGAGTGTGAGCTTCACTGAGCTTATTTGACCAATTTAAAATAATTAGCAACATCTCAGCGACCTGTAACAATTTTAAGAGATAAGGATGTGTCCTCTAGAGAGTTTGACTCTGGAATGTTCTATGTAGTAATATTATCGGTCGTTAATTTCCGATGTAAATGCTGCATTCGCTAACATCATTTCGTAGATCATCAGAGAATGCATTTACATCACTGCTTATAATATGATAACATGAGTTATATCCCTCGGTCAAACCTCGGGATATAACTCGTTTTATCAACTCGTCAAACTCGTTGGATAAAACTATTTTCACAACTCAAAGTTGTGAAAATAATGTTATCACATTATAAGCAGTGATGTAACTGCCTACTACACATTTGTACACTGTACTTTTGCCTTTTTAGACTGATTTAACAATATTTACTTTCGTATTGATTATGGACGAAAAATTATCAGGATTATGAAAGTTTTACATTATTTTTGTTCCCTTTGAATTTGTTACAAATATTGTTTGTATTTTGAACACTTGATTCAACATGTGTGACAGTATAATTAAACGATTGTATTTTTAACCGATTCAGTAGTTTTAGTTGTATCCGAAATAACTTCCAAAATGCTACATAAGAGAACTGATACCTCCGAAAATAAGTATCATACGCTTCTCTTATTATATGGAACAATCGAGTCTGACTTTTTATTTGTACACGTCAGCAAGCGTGTTCCTAGAATCCAATCTAGGATTGTGAATGAAACAGGAAATTAATCCACATAGGTCTCTGGAATTTCAAACAATTGTTGTTGATTAAAGCGTTTCGGATAGATTTCTCCAATTTAGTTTCTTCGTAGTTCGATCCAATAATAAAATATAATTATTGTAACCGCTATTTCAAACCCGCTTATTTCTACAAATTGTCGTTGTAAACAGTCGTGCGCGCGATCAGTTTGAGAATTAATCGACTTTGGCGCGTTCCATAAATACGTAACTTCCTTGCTTCACCAGTTCTTGGCATAGGCTTTAGAAGAGCTGGTTTATATCTGGACCCTATTTCTCCACAACTGGTTGACGCCAAGGCCTCCGTTGAGTGCAGTCATCCCATCCATCCACTAAGCCAAATGCACAGTATATAATGAAGTAAAAGAGTTTAGCTACGATCATAATAGTGTAACATCAGGATAAACACATTTCTGAAGCTGTGAATTGAGAGTGCAGTGCGAGACTAGAGATTCAGAGAGTGGAGGCAGCCGGTAAGCGGATCTGAGATCTCACTGTGAAATAGTAGCCATCCAGCAATGTGAGTTGTGTGAGAGATGGTGAGACTCCTCATCGATGGTAGTTCTGAGAAAAGAGAGACGGATAGGTTTCGTAGGGATAGCAACTCAATAAGGGCATCGAGTACGTCAACCAACCATTATTAGCTTACAATATTTTGAAATTTGAGGCAGTTCAGAAAAGTGTTTTCATCGTGGGGTACCGAGAAACATTGCTTCCTGCAACTACAATCAAATGCAAAATGAAGTGGAATCCAGACTCAACACTGTTGGTATCAAAGAATGAGGGGGAACTATGTCAGGCCAACTATCCTAATCGATTAAATAACATGTGCAGTGCTTTATGGTAAGTTGTCTTGAAATTAGACTCAAAAATTGCTATTTTTAAATAACAATTTTGAAGGGCCAAGGTGCTTGTTTTCAAAACTAATGCAAATTTCTCGTGCGCATAGGAACCGAAACCAGATAGCTCACTTACTTTTCCATTAATCCAAGGGCGTCCTCTACAGTCTACACCCGACGAAACACATTACCTTATATGGAATAACGACCGCTGTACACTTCTACCTACCTTTCGCTATATTATTAGAAGTTTTTTAAGGGTTGACTTGCTCAAAATCATACAGCTCCTGCTCTATAATACTCGTGGCTAATAGATTCTGGATGGGAGGTGAAGCATATTTTTCCTGACACGTGATAACGATTAACCAACCAGCTTCCAACAATGGCCAATCAAATCCCAGAATCACTGTCACTTGTGAAAACAAATATGTTTCACCTCCCCCTAGTAACCACTACGAGCTATCGGGCCAGTCCCCAATCAGTTAGTATCTGATCTCTCACTCGATACTTTGGATAATTACTGAAGTTAAAGAAAAATAATAATGCGATCATAGTATTACTAAGTAATTATTAATATTCGCTTATCTTAGGTACAAAAGAAATTATCGGCTCTCGGAAATTATCGGAATGTCAGCGGAGTTAAACATTACCCCCATTAACAGGTAATGAAACTAGGTAGTTTCCTAAAGTATTTAGGAATTTATGGTGAATGTACACTCCCCTTAGAGGAATGTTTACGTTCCAGCTTCAGACTCGTTACCAGATAATCTCAGCAAAATTCGACTAGCAACCATGTACAACCTCAAACTTCTCGGCATTGTAATTGGTCAGCGAACCCCAATTATATAGCTCTGTACTGTGATTGGCGCACACCCAAAATATTCAAATACAGCTTTCTGATTGGTCGGTGACCGTCACGTGACTCCTTAATAGCAGAGAGTTAAACGTTCATTTCCTCTGACTGTGATCTCCCAACAACATGATATCACGTGATCCTGTCTTAAACACCGGTTTCAAACACGAAGCTTAAGTCACGTGGTTACGTAAGCTCTCTCTCTCTCCCATAACATATTTGCTATTTAATTAGTTAATTTGGCAGTGGACCTCAAGATTTCCTCTCGAGTATTACTATTAGATATGTGAGATAACTGCAACAGTGCAATGCGTGTTTTCGAATAAGCAGGATTATGCTTTTGCATCTCAAATGCGATAGTGAAGTCCCGGCCGTAGCCCTGGGTTACACTACTATATTTATATTTACAGTATATACTATATATTACATATTATAATATACATACTATATACAAGTGAGTGGAGATTAGATTACGATGAGTACAATATACTTACGCTTTATTATAATATTTACTTGAGCCGTATTAGGTATATATAGTGACTAACAGGTAACTGGTGTTTACTTGTGGATATTATTGGTGTGCAGTGCGTAATGTGCGTAGAGATCAGTGTTATCGTGTAACAGTGTCACACAGTGTAACACAGTGTCACACAGTGTTACACAGTGTCACAAAGTATTACACAGTGTCACACAGCGTCACACAGTGTCACAAAGTATTACACAGTGTCACACAGTGTAACACTGTGTGACGCTGTGTGACACTGTGTGACGCTGTGTTACACTGTGTGACGCTGTGTGACGCTGTGTTACACTGTGTGACGCTGTGTTACACTGTGTGAGACTGTGTGAGACTGTGTGACACTGTGTGAGACTGTGTGACACTGTGTAATACTTTGTGACACTGTGTGACGCTGTGTGACACTGTGTGACGCTGTGTTACACTGTGTGACGCTGTGTTACACAGTGTCACACAGTATCACACAGTATTACACAGCGTCACACAGTATTACACAGTGTCACACAGTGTCACACAATGTCACACAGTATTGCACAGTGTCACACAGCGTGACACTGTGTCACACAGTGTCACACAGTATCACACAGTGTCACACAGTGTCACAGGGTGTAACACTAACTAGATAGATTATACAGCAGCAGTAGCAGCAGCCAGATTATCGACACTAAACTACAGATTGGTCGCTGTAATCTGGTAATCCCCCCGGGTATTGCAAAACAACTCTCTGTAATTAGTACGGATACGTGTACATTGTACAGTGTATACAATATACATTGTACAGGGTATTATATACATAACACTATGCTATAATACATTATACAATACACAATACACATTTATACGCTATACCCACTATATTATTACACCATACATTATGAACAATACAGTGTACACTATTGACTATAAGACTATACAAGCAATTCTTACATTGTACCACAGAATGTATACGACATCTGTGTGGTGAACAAATAATGATATCGGTGAAATTTTGTAAACAATGATTTATCATTGTTATCTAAGCTGGTAAATACTTGACTACTAGTGGGGATTGGGGGAGTTAAGTGAATTATATGTTCTGAACTGATGAAATGATTGAGTAAGCAGTTAGCAGCGACCAATCAAATTAGTTAACTGCTGTTACTTCCCCACCAGGTATTTACTCTTCAACTTCGTTTTCCCAGTTCAGTGGAATTCCACAGGAAGCCTGATAAACGTCATCAAATCACCGATGAAATTGAAGTTGATCTTGGGGCGTGGATCCAGGAAGGTAAGGTTTCCGAAGAAAAAATGACCAGAAATCTGTAGGATTTCCGTTTCACTGTAGGGTTGCAAGAGACGCCAAATAAAATATATCAATTATCGAAGAAATTGATTTGGTCGGCGCGAATTGAGAGAAACAATTCTTGACAGGTTGATGATCATTCAAGAAGAATGCACTTCTTCAAAGAATTTTAAGCAGCGAAAATATTTCTAATATTACGCCGTAAATTCAAAAACAATAGAAATAAATACAGAATTTTCTCGAACCCTTTATGTTAGAAAATTCCTCCAGTAATGCGTCAGAGGAGTATGTCGTCACAGGAATGGGGATTCCGCGAAACACGGGCGAACAATAATAGCTTCCTTAGAATTAGAACAATTATCTGGGAATCCCATTATTCGCCCTTTAAAGAGTTTATACGAGGGGTTGGAAATAGTGCTACACACATCTTTCCATTTCTCATCACCCTCGACAATGCAGCTGTCTGTTCCTTTAAATTTAAATATTCGAAATATTTTCGCTGTTTTACGCTTTTGAAATTCTTTAAACTAATCATTCTGATCTTTATTGGTTGTTTTGGGCTGATCAAGATGACGATCACCTGAAATTCGTTTTGAAATTGTAAACTCATTTTCACCTCTAAACGAATTTGGAAGCGTTCACTTATTACGTAATCAATTTTTCACGTTTCGTGACCCCTTTCGTTATCAGTATTATTAGAAAATTCATCAGCGTAATCAAACTTATCATTTGGCAAAGCCCTTCCGCTCAGAGATTACGTAATATTATATAAAGGCTCCTTTTACGTGATTTTTACTTACAGTGGCTATTATCTAAAGACGTTTTAACAGCTTTTAACAGCAAAGCTTGCACGCTTGACGTCATACCCCAGTAAACACAAGCTCCCGACCATATCACGCTTACAAGTCAAGACCGGGGCAGGGAAGATGATCTGCTAACTCGTATTGTAGTGCTTGGTCCACAGTGGTTCACAACAACTATTATCTCATTTCGATCTAATTAAGTGTATCGATTAGATTACGTTGCCACCCCTCTGCTAGCATTATTAGTATCGGATCCTGTACAATTAAATCACTTTGAAATCTTCAGCTTCTAGGTTTCTAGTCAGGTCCAGCTGGTTCGTGTTTTTAATGTTCTAACAGAATATTTTGTATTCTGTTCTAGGTATTTATAGGTGTTTTATAGGTATTTGATAGGTATTTTATAGGTATTTAAAGCCGGATTCCGTCTATAAATTATAGAAGTTGTGGAGGACGAGGGGTTGGGTGAGGTTACCACGCATATCTCCCTCGCATATCACTCTCACATCACACTATACCTTTGTTGCACTTGTCAACACCTCAAGCCACTACTGGTCTCAAAATATTTCTATTAAAAGATTCATATTTGCATTTTTCGGCATAGTTTGTTTGTCACTGCTTTTGTTTGGTTGGGCCGTTAAATGGTTTTTAAAACAACTTTTCGTCAAATTGCTTGCGGCACGAAACTATTTTTCGTCTAGTTTAGAGATTTAGATAGCTTGTTACCTTGTTAAATACCATAGCACCGCAAGGGTTTTTTACTACTCTATTTCGCACTGTACTATTATAGCCGTTGAATGTAGCGCTAGATAATAGTTAACCACATACCAACTCCAATTTTGTAGCATATTTTACAGAACCTATAATTTTATGAGACCTCTCGTTATCTAATCTCATAATCTGTTCTTCTAAATCTTGTAAGGCCCAAGCGTGAGTTTTCAGCATTGAAGTGTTTAGTAGGGAGCATCACGGCTCTCGACAAAGTGAAAATCGAGGCAAATGACGAAATTAATCGACGTTTCGGGCTTCGGCACTCATTGGCGGTTTGGCATTTTACTAAGAGTACTGTTAAATTACAAGGGTCTCAGCTAAGACCTTAAGACCTAGGTAGGCAAGCCCAATTATAGGAACTGAAACAACCATGTAAGGGGGAGCCCTACTTGGTTAAATACTCTGTGGTTTGTAAGAATATGCTGCTCCAAAAATAATATATCCAAACAAGAGGTCAAAATATTACTTTCTAATAGAATTGGTAATCTTTCTTCGCTCTTATGAGTGGGTCGACCATTATATATTTTGATGATAGTTGGTGACGAAGTGAGAGTCTCCACTCAGTGTTTTAAAACAAATTAGTTGTCGACGTTTCGGTATATTTGAATTGTATAGATTTTCTGTAATAAATTTGTAGTTATTTCACGTTATTGCTTGTTGATTGCATAGATTTTTGTAAAAATTTTGTAATATTTCATGGTATTGATAGATTATTTTAACATAATTGTAAATTGCAGCTATGTAAGTTATTGTAACGTCCTGTCTTTGACAAAGGCGTGTTGCCGAAACGTCGACAACTAATTTGTTTTGAAACACTGAGTGGAGACTCTCACTTCGTCACCAACTATCATCAAAATATTCTAGAATATGTAGAATTATTCGGTAACCACAGCTACAGCAAAATGAAATTATTCAGTACAATAAACCTATTTGTTAGAATATTGCTAAATTTAGATTTTTGGCTTGAAATTTACAAATCTCTTTGGTAATACAAGTTTACTAGAGTGTCTTTAAACCGCTTTAATAGTGTTAAAAACACTAAAATCTTACAAAGAACTTTGTGAAGTATCTAGTTCTTTTTGCAGGGGTATATTTCTCGCCGTTCTCGTGGCGATATTATCTTTTTGTTATCTGGCGAGCGGCTTTGATATTGACACCGTTTTGTTTATCCTTGATTAGTTTATTATAAGACAGTCTTTGTCGCAAATTATTATCCTTGATTAATTTATTACAAGACAGTCTTTGTCGCAAATGAGCGGGATAGTAAATTAAAATACCGTGTTTCCTTTTCTTTCCATTTCGTGAACTAACTTTTGTCAATAATTGTTAGGATGAGGCAGACTTCGTTCCACCTTGCTACGTTGGTATGGTTGATTATTGATGCCGGATGCAGACATATACATACTCGAGAGTCACCTACGTTCACTGCTACAACTATGGATAGTAAAGGTAAACACTACTTTAAAGTTAAAATTTTAAAATTATCCATCATCAGTTTAGATGACGGCATTAATATAATCATGCCATACAAATTTAATGTTCCAAATTTTATGATCAGTCTTGAATATTGCTTAGCTGAAATCACAGACCCTTCATAATCTAAAATATATCACAGATGATGATCTATCAATAGCATTGGGAGAATTTGGCTTGGATCTTAAAAACACTGACCTAAACTCAGTTCTACAACACAAAAAACCTGACTACATCTCATTCAGAGGAAAAGACATTCAGGAGCATCATAGTCTACAACATAGCGTAGTCAAATACCTGTTACAGTATGGTTATCTAGAAACAGTGAAACAGAAAACAGAGAAAGAGTTGGGGGATACCGTGATTGAGGAGGGAGATTTAAGTGCCGCTTTGAAGCGGTATCAGACTCTGTTTAGTCTAGAAGTTACGGGAACGGTTACAGAGGAAACGTTGGTTAAAATGAGGGAAGCCCGGTGTGGAATTAAGGATGAGGAATTTATAGCTTCAACAAGCAGGGTTAAGAGATACACTGTGAAGAGGAAATTGTGGAAGAAGAAAAGGTTGTTCTATTGGTTTGATCCTAAGAAGTACTCGGGCAAAATGCCAAAAGCCACCCAGCGACAAGTGTTGGAGAAGTCTATGGAGCTTTGGGCAAAGGTTGCGGGTGTAACGTTTATTGAGTTGCCAGCAAATAGAGGAAGGAGGGCTGACATTAAAATCAGCTTTGAGAGAGGTTCCCATGGTGACAAATACCCATTTGACGGATCTGGAGGTATTGTGGCACACGCGTTTTTCCCCAGAAAAGGACTGCTTCATTTTGATGACAGTGAAGACTTCACGACGGAAACCACAAACGGGATCAACCTTCATTTCATAGCAACACACGAACTAGGCCACATTCTTGGTATAGACCACACATTCCACGAAGATGCCATAATGTTCCCGCTGTATTCTCGTGTGTACCCAGATAAGATAGAACTAGCTGACGATGATAAGAGCGCTGCGAGGGTTGCTATGGGAGGGGGAGTGGGAAGAGTGGTACCTCTCCGTAAGTGGAGCTGATAGAGTTACTTAGTGAACTGTTAAGGAGGACGAGCAGTCTTCCAGGTGTTTGTTAGATTTGTCTGAAAATTGGCATGGAAGATGGAAGAGACGCAAAAGTTTCTCCGATACGGATAGAAGAGATAAAATGACGGTCAGAACTGAAAGATATAGCAAGAAGCATAAAACTGAAGAGATGGACGTAAAGTTGAGGTGAACTTGAAGCTAACTGTTACAGTCTGAACTTCACAATATCGTAGGTGGAATAGTATGTTAGAGTGTTAGGTAGAATTTGTTAATTTGAAAGATTTTATAAATGCTTTAATAGATGATAGTCTATTCTAGACGAACACGACTTTCTATTTGAAATAATAATACTTGTATTTGTATTTGATTCGCATACAGTTATTTATCTGCTTTATTTCCAACAGAAAATGTCTTTGTTTAAGTCCGTGATCTAATTCTAATCTCAACGAACTAAAGATTCAAAAATCCAATGATGGATATCGCGGCGTCGTGGATCTATGAGAATTTTGTAAAATAGAAAATCTCCCGACACTAACCAGGTCGGGATCTGGGATCATCACCAGTTAGCTAGATGCGGCTAAGGTTCAAAACTTTTGAAATTCAATCACCTGATGATATCATATATCTAATGCTCAATCAGGAGGTGACCGGGACATGATTTTAGGCCTGACCGGGACCGGGACCGGGACCGGGATACAAAATGTGACTTGACCGGGACCGGGACCGGGACCGGGACTGAGATTATCAATTTACCGTGACCGGGACCGGGACCGGGACCAATAATTTCTGGGATTTCTATCTTACCGGGACCGGGACCGGGACCGGGACCGGGACCGGGACCAACAATCCAATTTTACCGGGATGACCGGGATGACCGGGATTTGACCGGGATGACCGGGATGACCGGGATGACCGGGACCAAAACTGGTATTCTCATATTGAAAGCTGCAACTTTCATTTACATTATAATTGAAAAAAAAACCGTCAATATGGGGCATGGGCCTAATGTACTACACCAATAATGTTCATGTACTGAATACTCAAGTTCACCCTCATTCCTCATTCCTCGATCAATGATCCCTCAAATTATTCAACAGTTTCATTCTCCAATTCCAATTGACAATTGGGCGTAGCCCGAGTTGAAAACTTGATGTTAGTTTGCACTTATGAGTTATGTAACGATATTAGTTACCTAAACTAGTAAACTTGTTTAGCAATTTTAAACATTGTTTTATTTGGCTCAGAGGTTGTTTAAAGATGAAATTCACAATGAATGAAAGTAAAAACTTAAAATCACAGTGAATGAAATTATGTAAAAGATCCCGGTCAAAATCCCGGCAAATTTGAGTGATTGACCGGGACCGGGACCGGGACTGGGACCAAGAATCCTGAATTAACCGGGACCGGGATCATAAATCAGCATTTGACCGGGACCGGGACCGCGACCGGGATAGCTGAAAATTGCCAATCCCGGTCCTGTGCTCAATCTCAGTGCGGTAGCAGCTGACTGGGAGGAATATAGGATACCGTTCAGAGATATATAGTTTTATTAATGAGTGAGTGTAATAATGAATTATTGCATCATCATCCATGAATATTATATTTAGACCGATATAGTGCTGCATAAAATTTGACCATACCCGTTTTTACATCACACTTATAATTAGAAAAAGTAATAAAATTAATTATAAAATAAAAAAATTGTTGTTAATAACGGATCAGTGCGTTTTATCGTGTTTAAGAAATGATATAATACAAAAGTTAGCACTTGAAACTGTGTGTGTTATATTGGCAATATTTAATCATGAACACAGTAAGAATTATGGGGATCGGTTTCTTTGGTGTTCAACTGGGGAAGCTAAAAAACTTAGGCTTTTAAAAATCGGCAAACAGTAAGTGCTTTATTTGATGATCTGTACCCAATGTGATATTTAACTTTAAGTAATTCTCACTCTTTCTACGTCTCATTCTCTAGCTTTCCCCAGCCCCCTACTATTAAAAAACCCTTGAAAATATTAAAATACTAAACTGGGCCCAGCCAGCCTGACATCACGTTCATACTAACTAAGCGAGCAGCACTAAGTTCATTTGCTTACTTAAATCACAGTTCCGAGGAACAACAATCTTACATCCCGTTTTTATAGGTTTAAAACTAAGTTTGACCATGATCCATCGATTAGGCTTAACTAGCCAGTCACAGTTAAGAGGGTAATCACGTGATAGATTCCCTCTAAGTCCAATGATTACAGATGCTGGACACCCCCTCCCTCCCCCCCCGCCCCTGTCACCGGATATTGTTTTTATAGTGTCCTGGTGTCAGAGTACGGTGATTGCGTTTAAAAATTTTGTTTTAGGGTCGGTTTTGCTTTGCTTGAAATTTGACAGAAATATCTTGATAGCTTGATAATTTTGGTGCAAGCTGATGCCTGCACTCTGCTGGAAATCATGGCAGAATTAGGAGAAGTAAGCGACGCCGCAATACAGACTACAGGAACTTTTGAGCTTTGGTAGAGAAGTTGGAAGACGTAATAAGGCTCATATTTGGGCTAATGATTATGCATAGCTAAGAAGCCGTAAGAAGGGAGCACAAAAAGGTCGTACTCCAGATTAGAAAAGCACGTACCAGCATTTGAAAAATAATTTAGTGGTGTACAGTGTACAGGCAATCTATGTGAATGAGCACCAATAGTCAGCATTGCTTCTTTTGTTATAAAGTTAATTACTATTGGATACGTGAGTACACTTAGAATTAAATAAATTGCTCACTTAATGCGGGTAGAAACTTGTGTACTTTTTTAATAGCATCAGTGGAATCTCAGCTGAAGAACATGTTACATAATATTAAGATGAGTGTACGCATGGTTGCGATTTACGCACGACAATAAGACGTATAGATGCTAAGTAAGTAATTAGTGATGCAATGGTGATCATCTAAGTTATCTTAGTTCCACTAAAACCTTGAGAAAGATATATTGTGCAATTCTCTATCTGCCTTTATCTGAATAAGAACTTGAAAGATTTGTCGAAAGAGAATTACTCGTGATATGTCCATTTATGGCGAGACATTTGCAGTTGAATTAGTAATTTCTCATAACTCAAAATGCATTACGTTATATATTATATTACGTTATATTACGCTATATTATAAATTTATATTACGTTATGTTACAGTCTGTAGATCTGGTTATTTATACTGGTGGGGAGGCATATTTATCCGAAACATTATTAACATTAACCAATCAGCTTCCAGCATTAACCAATGAAGACCGCAAATCAATGTCAAGTGCCAAAATAAACAGTCTAGCTATGTTTTTAAAACGCCTGGAAGCGATTTATCAACTAATTAGCACTACAATATTTCAATTAACAGCGCATCACAAACACTGATTCCCTAGGGACTATTAACTCAAACCTCAGCTCTGCCGGCTCTATCCGAATACAGTATTACAGTACACACCCTACATAATATATTATAATATATAATAATGCTATTTTCCAGATATTCAACTCACAAGAAAAGGCAAATTCCTTTTCTTTGTCAAATTCCTTTTCTTTGTCATGCCATCTTAAAAAGTTGAAACCTTGCCAGTTTTGAAAATAAATGAGTTTGCTTGAAAATGACAGTCTCCAAAGTAACCACCGTACCCGTCTAATCTCCGTAATTTGCTGGGATGTCACGTGACCTAAACTGTACTATCTTGCTGGTCTACTTGTCCGAGTGACTGAGAGCTAGGTATGTTATGTAGTATAGCTGGGTTCTGAGCGTTACAGTTTACATGCACCACACGGGTATCAATCAAATCAGCCAGAGAGAGAGAGAGAGAGAGAGAGAGAGAGAACGGTTATTAATATGTCACGTGGTCTCTGTTATGTCACGTGGTCTCTGTTATGTCACGTGGTCAGCCATGGTCAGGTCAGATATTAGAGTTTTAGGTCACGTGACGCACTTACAAAACAGTACACAGTACAGTTATAGTATTTCTAGTTCAATCACCTGATTGAAGTTCAGTGATATGATTCTAACACTGATCAAACACTCTCAAGCTAAGCGTAAGGGGCTGACTCTAATGACCGTGTAATCGGCTTCTAAACTGCTTTAATTAGAGATTTGAGAATTTGATAACTTGATATTGGTCAATCCAAGATGATCTGCCTGACAATTCAAACTTCAAGTTACAAAAAGGAAATGTGTTTACTGTTTAGATGAAATGATGTACTTTTTATCCGTTTATCCAATAAAATAGTAAACTCAGCGTACGTCTCATCTAACGTTTACACCAGCTCTCGATCTTCATTAGGTAGTCTTCCTACACTACTACTCCTACACTACTACTCCTACACTACTACTCCTACACTACTACACCTACACTACTACTCCTACACTACTACTCCTACACTACTACTCCTACACTACTACTCCTACACTACTACTCCTACACTACTACTCCTACACTACTACTCCTACACTACTACTCCTACACTACTACTCCTACACTACTACTCCTACACTACTACTCCTACACTACTACTCCTACACTACTACTCCTACACTACTACTCCTACACTACTACTAAAGGACCTGTCACTTATACCCCTGTAAACACACTTTACACCACACACAGTACATGTATTAATATACTACACATAACTCACTAACTTATTCATGAGTATTAGCTCCACAGCAGATGTGATTGTTTGACACGTGGTAGTGATTCTGGATTTTGATTGGTTATTGCTGGAAGCTGATTGGTTAATAGCTGTCATGTGTAATTATGCTCATGCAGTTCCAGAACAATAAGGCAGGTCTCAATAATTAGATTGTAACAGATCGCGTGCTGCAAGGTGCAAGTGTAACCATGGTAACAAGGTGCAAGTGTAATGACTAACCTGACACGTGACAGTGACAAACCAATCAGCTCTCAGCGTCGACCAATCATTACCCAGAACCACCGTCAAGCCTCAAGTATCACACAAATGTACATAATTCACTTCCCCACCAGCATCGAGATGTATAGTTTTGTCAGAAGAAGAAACCGTCTGACCACCGAATTCTTGCCGCAATCAAAATAATCACCAAAAAGAGAAGATGGAGCTTTACATCATTCTGGATCTGGGTGTCAAACCCAAGTTGTAGCCAAAACAATCTGTTTCATTTGTCGAATAAGTTATTTAAGGTGATCTTATTTTCAGGTGATCTAACACTCAGAATCTTGCAACACAGTTATAACACTCCCTCCTTCTCTCAGCTCCTCCTCCCTACATAACATCCGACACACAAGAGGGAACCCACACCAGCACTAATTTTACCCCTGCTGGCACCCTAATCACCTAATCACCCAATTAAAGGGCACTCCCTCACATTTAGGTGCATGTAGTTCAGGCCTACTTCAGGGATCACACCACCACCTGGTGATTAACAGCTGGTTATTTACATAGTGGCAGGTGGGAGGTGCCAATTGGGTGTCATTATCAAAGGTCTGCACCAACATCTGGGGGGCCCACATTTTGTAGTTTTTGTCATTATGTGTTGGAGTAGCAGGCTGGTAAGATCTGTAACCCCCCCTGGTCCCCTGCGCTGGTCCGTATCTCAAGTCTACTACGAGCTGTAACAGGAGACATTGTACCGCAAATCTCCTGTCATAATGATCTGTAGATGAAGTTTTGGGGCAGTAAAATGCAGTGTTACAGTGTCGTACTACAGTGTTACAGTGTTGTTCTACAGTGTTACAGTGTAGTACTACAGTGTTACAGTGTAGTACTACAGTGGGCCAACTCAGCAGTAACAGTGGGCTTACTTAACACTAACTCAAAGTAATTTAGAATTTGGACATCGATATTTAGGACAGATAGTCACGACAAAAAAAAAGCATGAATTATATTTATAAAGGCGTTTGTAAGTTGAGTTGCTTGAGGAGGGACCATAAAATGTATGCATTTTGGTTTCTTAAGAAGCATGGTAACGTATCTAGAAGATGTAAATACTCCTTTATAAATTGTACTCCTCTCTTATTGAGAGTAGCATCACGTATCTCACTTCTGTAGAATAAATAAGAGCTCTACGCCATCAAGGGTGATTCAACATAGAATTCTAAGGCTTCAATTACAGGTCAACATATTTTTATTAATAGAACGAAATTGCAAAATACGCTAGGGGCGACATCCTCATTTTTGCTAACTATGACGACTTTTGGGAATTTATGGAATAAATAGCAACAAATCTGACTTTCAGAAATTTATGGAATAAATAGCGAAATATTTTACGATCAAGTCACTCTGCCATTAGTTGCCCCAAAAAACATTATTTTTATATCTATTTACACTCTACAGAATTCTATAAACGTCCATCTCAATACTTTACAATACCCTGAGCAATTTTATGATTTGATCTAACTGATCTCGAAAATGCTCCAATTTCATCACGTGTCAAGTTAACAATTTACCAGATCATATATTTAGTCTGGACAAACTCACCCTGAAGATACCATCCAGATAGTATCAGAATATAATGATCAGTTAAAGAGGGTGTAGCCCATCTTCCCAGACACTAATCACTGATCACCCCACACACACACACACGCGCTCTCACAGTATAATTACATAATGACATAATTAAATAATTACATAATTACACTTGAAGGGTGCGGTTACACACACGTGTAGGTAATTACAAGATTGTGTGTACATCTGAACATAATGTGAGGGCAACAGTGTACCTCTGTAAATCATTAGCAATACACTGCACACAGTTGCACAATGCATACTGGCTATACTGGTAAAGTACTACGAGTACAAGTCACATGATAACAAGTCACGTGGTTACAAGTCACGTGGTAAAGAATACTGAGCACGTGGGCAGTTATGCTGTGTTACACGCTCTATGATGTGACAAGTCATGGTTGTAACTCTGTCACGTGGTGTGACACGTGTCTCGTTTTTATCACGTGATATATGATTAAGGGCACGTGTTGTAGCTGTAGCAAGCCGTGGTGGAAAGTGATCTTGTAGTAATTGCGGGAGAAGCTGCTCTATGGAGATCGATAATCAATAATCATGAATCAGGGCTATGACATTTATTCATAATGAGACGGTAATTATAAAATTGTCCAGTATATGAACGTGTGCTAATTAAATACGGTCAACAAGCCACACTGCTAGCTGCATCACTTAGAGACACGAAATGAACACGCACAAATCTGGAGGCAGGTATTATTAAAAGAAGCACAAAAAGCGCCGACCTAAAACCGGGAGTTTGGTAGAAAAGGAAGCACAATAAAAGCAGACGCAGTAAAACCTGGACTTTTATCTCCGTCATTTATCTGATGATAAGAGATATTGGCTGAAACTGCAATATCTTTTAGGGAAGATTAGACTTGGGCGTTGTTTTTTAACGTTTATCTAATAATATAATTTATAGTGAAAGAAGAGCACTGACCTGAAGCTTGGACTTTAATCTCGAAGTAAGTCTTATCCTGGTTGAGAGGTGTGTCTGCCAGCGCACCTCCTGCCCCACAAATTCTTCTACCTGACTTTACTATCACTGTCTCTGAGCCTGAAAAAGGGTACTTGTAACAGCTAGGTTAGTAGAGTAAACAGTAATAGCCCGATTTACTGCGGAGTTTGAAGGAAGGGAAATAGCCGCTCAAAATTTGCGGTATATAGGAGTGCAGAAAATTGAAGGTTTACTTTTGTTTGATCAAATAACACAGTGCTGCATTTGCTACCTTGCATTTGGCAGTCACCTTTGAGATCAATAGTCTTTGTATCATAACATTAAAATCCTTGGTTAGATTTTAATTTGACCGCAGACCAGGGCTAGAACGAATAATCTCATAAGATATTTTAGACACAGTATAATATCAGCATGCAGGCTTTATTGACTCAATAAAACCTACTGTGCCAAGAGGTAAATGAAATCATGCATATATCTAAGTATATAGGTGCTAAGTATGTAAATATGTGGCAGTTGCTATGAACCTAAAACTGGGATATTTTTAGCCTTAAAAGGTAGGATTAATGAGTATCTTGTGATCTTAGCAACATAACGTTAATCCATTTAGTCTCGCTCTGTAGTTTGTTTTACTGCTAGTGAAAGAGCACCGCAGTTACTGGTCTTTGGTATTTTTGAGAGAAAATGTTGGTATTCTTCACTAAGAAAAGCACTGAGTACGTATCGATTCTTGAATAGTTATAATTAACTAAATCAGTAGATAATCCTAATTTGATCACATCTGGCATTGCTAAATCAATTAAAGTCGTACATTTTACTCACCAATTTTATTACTGTCCAAACACACAGGAGATATAGTGTTAGCATTGTTGAGGCCCTTAGTTGAAGGTCTTTGGCACAGAAAACATTCCCCAACCCACCCGAACCAGCCGGCAACGTAACTTAGCATGTGGCAACAAAACAGTGAATTCTTCTACATACCTCTCGTTCTCATGGCTTGGGTAGGGCTTAGGAAAGTTTTATTTTAGTTGATCATGGTTTAACAACTGGTAATGAATTCTATAATTAGATTAATTAAAAAATACGTCAACAACAAAAACATAACGAAACGAAACTCAGTATTTACTACCCTGCTGCTATGCAACAAAGAAAGATAAATTTAAGCCATTCAAGCGAGACATAGTATGGAGATAACAAAATTATGCAAGTATTAAATGCATTATGTATCTAAGGCAAGGAGTTGTAATGCTATGCAATTCATCTGCAACCATAATAATGACAATTACAAAGATTGTTTTGATCAAACAGAGCCAGTGACTACTGAGCGCAAGCTTATTTAGCTTAATGTAAATGAATAAATAGAGTAAAGTCCCATTGAGCACAATAATTATAGTATCTTTAAAGTCAAATGATATACAGCACTAGACCGATACATGTTTATGAACGGAAAATCGATATTATTATTAATTAAAATTGAAATTTAAAAACACCACTATTAAGCGTACACTTTTACTCAGCAGTGTCACTACAACTAGTTTACAAAAATACTTTTAAAACTATATATCAAAAGCAAAATAAAGTTCAATGTATAAATTCGTTCATAAAACTTCCAAAAAGCTAATATAATTTAGATAAGTCAAAGAGAGGGTTAAAATTGTTAATAAAACATTTTTGCTACCTCAGTGTCAGATAAAGTAAACAAATAAGTCTTCAGTGCGGACTTAAACGCCTCAACAGAATAACATTGTTTAACTGAGTCTGGTAGTGCATTAAAAACTCGTGGACCAACCACACTAAAACTACGATCACCAAAACCCTTGGTTGAACGATAAGGGACTATGAGCCTAACAGTGTGTCCATGGTGAGCATACTTAAACATATCTTGAAGGTACAGTGGCGCTATTCCATTAATAGCCTTAAAAGATAGGAGACATATTTTAAAAATCACTCTTTTAGGTATATTAAATATCATTATAAAAGAAAAGGAAAACCAAATTTACAGATATATAATATAAGGAACATACATATTTACAGAAATTTGTCTGCTCCCAGAAGCCACTGGCTCTGTTTGATCAAAATAATCCTTGCACAGCAGGGTCAGTGGGCCCACTGGATAGGTGAGAAGTCATTAGACAGATGTGTAACTTTGCATAGATCCAACGGATCCCCTTAACTAGCCATATGCCCATCTTATCTACTGTGTTCAACAGGTTAAGCACATCGATAACACTAAAGTGCAGAAAATGAATAGCTGAAATTTACAGAAGAAAGTTTTTCCTACCAAACTATTTTTTGATGTTCTAACAGATTTCCAGTACACCAAAATGATACAGCTTATCGGCTAGAATAAAAGAAAAAAAAAGATATGGAAAAGATTTGGAAGACACTTTTCATGAGCGTCTTTTACCTCAGCTGCTGCAAAAGGACTGAATCAACTTAACCACTGTTGTGTTAACTGAGTCAGGTTTTTGATATTATTCATCACAAAGAATCCAAAAATACAGTAAAATGCTTTGAATGTGAACTTAATTGGAAATACACATAGTTTGAAGAACACTCGAGGCCGGCCGGTGTGACTTACTGTAGCGTAGCTGTTCTGATATCGAACAAATGCACCCTTTACAATATTAGATAAGTAGGATTTCAAATTTATACAACATCTGGGAAATATACAATACAATACAACTATTAAATACCTATGAAGAAAAGCTTAAGTTGCCCTCTTTTATTTATTATCATTATTATAAAACAGGATCTTACCGACAAAAATGATTCATAAAAATACCTTAATGCGGTCAACTGTACCCTTGCAACAGATTTTCCCATTATCTGTTGCAAAGCATTTTTTTTCCATCAAAAATTATAGCAAATGATGAAAGTTCAAGTTATTATTATTACTTAAAGGGTTTTTATAAAATTTACTAAGATTTTTATTATTATAACAATCATTTTTTTGTCGATACACTAGGGACCTCAAATACAGGTTTTTAAACGTACGCGTAGAATTATTTAAACTTGAATAAAGTATGAATGTAATATGTATAATTATATTACTTTTCTTTTTGATTGACGAAGTCAATCCTTTGCATTTTGGCGCAGTACAATGGTGCATCGCACCGAATTAACTAAAACATTGGAGGACTTTGCCGCTTCGACGCACCGCGCAAACTATCATTTTTACTTCTCATCATTATATGACGAGATCGTTGCATGCTTTGTTAATTTGCAAAGAAACAATCTGGAAGGGTTTACATCGTCAATCTAACTAAAACTCTTCATGGTCGCGGCCCAGCTCAGTAGTGCATTCAGCTTTGCCAATCGCGTTTCAATTTTTTCTGATCAGCAAAATCTCAAAAATAATTTGAAAAAAGAAATCAACAAAGCCATGTGGTATATACCAAAATTTAATTTATCATATTTACTCGGCGGCGCTCAGCCTAGTGTTATTCCGCCAAATCTCTATTTGGGCCATAAGTGAATTACGACTCCATTGCCCTGAAAAAAAGTGCGAATGCTTATTGGATGTTTGACCATTGTTAATGGTCTGGCCCGGCCGCGCGCGCTACTTCGTAGCACTTGCCATCGGGCCATAATAGCCTGGGGTCCCCAGGTAAATATCATATATTATTATAAAACTAGATTTGTGAATAAAATAGCTTTAATTAGATTCGCCTAACCATGTGCTTTTGCGCTACTGTGGGTGCGCTTGTTTCACAAGGGAGGCGGGTGCGCGCGCCGCCACTGTAAGCGCAAGGGCTCTGGATAGCTAGCAATCAATTAGCCGCATAGCACAATATAGTACTAAATTTAAATAATTTATTAGAATATTCCCTGGAAAGAATAAAAAGTTTTCAAAAATTAAAACGTTCAAAAGATAAAAAAGTTTTCAAAATTTGAATTTTTGCACGCGCTTTATTTTATTTTGTAATAAAAACTTATAAAATATAATTATGATAAAAATCAATTTAAAATGAAACTAAAACTTTAGGTGCGCCGCCTATATTTTCGCAAATTTACACCGTAGCAGGAAAATCGAGCGCTGAAGCAAATACTGTCATCAGTCAAGGATACAAGGATACAAGGATACAAGGATACAAGGATACAAGGATACAAGGATACAAGGATACAACATTGATAATTATTTTATTGAATTCACAATAGTTATAATTCTGAAATAGTTTAAGGTTACAGGAAAGAAAAATTTTTTTTAGGAAAGAAAAATTTTTATTTACCACAAATAATCAATACATAATGTTATATTCATAAATAAATTCAAATTTCAATTTCAAACACATATACAGTACGCCGCGCACACAGCCACAATTTAAAATTGTTCAGAAATTCGTAGGTCAGCTGTAGGCGCCGCGCACAGGATCTATTTAATTGTTAACTTACAATTACATGTCACATTTCTTAATTACTAGAGCCAAAATTTCAGAAGCAAAATAATTTAAAAGATATTTCTGTCGTTCACGCAGTACAGGCCGTGAGCACTGCGATCTAATTAATATAATAATGGAGAGATTCCAAAAAACCGCGCGCTCGTTATTTATTGTGATTAAATTGAGTGCGCGCCACTGTGAACAGCAGTACCGCTCAAGCATGAATTAGTACTGAGCGGTACGCAGTTCTGCGTGAGGCGTAGACATTTGTAGCACACGTTTCATTCAACTAATCCATTAATCCATGTGACATGTACAATGTAATTATATTAAAGCAAAAAGAATATTAATTTTAGTAATAATTGACGTGAACATATGTGTTTAAATAACATCTATAATCTAGCGAGTTACTAATACCGTTCGCGTTTGTTTGTATTCTTGATTATATATCTTTACACTAGCCTATATTATGATGGAGATATACATTATATAATTGCTCCAATATTCAACACTGCTAAACAACAAATACCTACTCGCCCATCGATGAAGCAGTCGCCAAAACAAAGCTCAAAGTTAATATATCTTCGTACTTCGTTTTGGAAACTGTAGAATTCCAATAAATAATTAGTGTTTCAATCGTGTATTCGATGGGCAAGCACTCGCCACTTGAGGCCGAGACAAACGGCACCAGCTCCGCCCCGCAACCGTGAAGTAAGGCGGGGCGGTGGTGTGCGCCGTTTGTACGGCCCACAGCACGAGACATTTTGAGCTCCAAGACTTAAGACTATAAAAGTCCCGAATTAAACGTAGCGACTTACCATCGTCAGCCGTCAAAAATTTAGAATTTGTATGTTATAAACTCTACACCTGCTATCAGTCTAACATGTAATTTAGTTTGTTATTGGCTAAATTTTCAACTCGATTAAGCGATGCAGACGGATGAACTAGGCTTCTCCTCCGTCAAAAACACAATGAGAGGGGATTGTGGAAGGACACGAACACTATTCGTTAACTCGTACCCCGGGTACCCCCTAGAACTGTGTCCCATCAGAGAGAGCCCATCACCCGTCAGATCGAAAACAGTGTTTTAGTTTTGATATATGCTGTACCAATTACAATAAATGGTAAGTCAAGGCTGACGTTGGTAGCAAAGTATAAAGTGACACGTCACAACAAAATAACCACTACACACTACACACACTATACGCTATAACTATTGTACACAGTACACAGTATAACTAAAATATAAAATATAAACAAGTTACAAGAGACAAAAGAGTTTACAGAAGAGTTTTACATCGGCTCAGCACCGCCAGGACATTGGCTATACACGTGGGTCAATTAGTTTGATTTGGTATGGCTCGACCGGGAAAGTGGTCGAAATTAGTGCTCTTAATGAGTCATCACTGTCGTCTGAATATTAGAGCGGGAACTTCCCAAGTTTCGGCCAACAACGCGCACAGCATGGGCGCGCAATGCTATGCGCGGTCTCGTATTACTAGACTGTGTCATTCGGCGGTTGCGCTCAGCGTTACTGGGAATGAGTTGTATGTTGTTTACCTAAATTCAAGCATGGTATTCATAGATAAGCTTGTCAGTCAGTAAGTGCTTAAGTGGGAATAACAGGC